GAAAACTAAAACTAAAAGTATAATAAATTAACTAGAATTGAAAGTGACAACAAATAATGAAAACTGAAATTGATAAATAAGTTGCTACATGCTTAATATATAAGTTGCTACACGTTTGCTAGTATACTTAATTTGTTGGATGGTTAATATATAGGTTGCTACACGCTTAATACATACATAGCTATTACATATATAACATAAGTTGCTAGTAGATACAAACCATTTTGAAACACATGCATCATATTTCATAGATCTCATCACAAGTGGCTCAACAGTACAAATCTATGAAAAAAACTGAAACTGAAATTACCATTGAATAAAAAAGAAATTAGCAACCAGAAAACAAAACAAATAATTGAGAAAAAATGAAATAAGTTGTTATACAACTAATATGTAGGATTTAGGAATGCATTCAAACCTAAAAGAGTGACTGAGAACTGAAAATAAAAAAGCATTTAAAAAACATGACTCAAACTAAAACTAAAAAACTGAAAAAAAACTTGACTGAAAATTGAAACCGGAGGCAAATTCTTTTGTGGCAACTTATGTGTGCAATAGCTACCCTTTTGTAACAAATTACATATTGTAGGTGAGGCAACTAATATGCGGGATTTAGGAAGACATTCAAACCTAAAAGGGTGACTGAAATCTGAAACTAAAAAAAAGTGACTGAAAAAATGAAACAATGAACAAAAAATAACTAACAATTATGAAAGACATTTGAACCAGAAACTGAAACTGAAGCACTGAAAAGCTACCAAAATAAAAAGAAAATAAAACAATAAAACTGAATCTCTGAAATAGATAATGAAACACTGAAATAGCTACCAAAAAATGATAAATGAAAAAAAACTGAAACAATAAGACTGAATCTCTAAAATAGCAACTAATAACAGAGAGAAAGCTAGCTACAGTGACTGAGCTTCCTTCTTTGCTTGCAATTGTAAAGCCATGCAAGAAACCAATCCTCAACCTCAAGGAGGCGAGGCAAAGGCTACTCCTACTCCTATAGGCTGCTGAGCTGAGGGAGCAAAGCAAAGGAAAGGCAGTAGCTAGCAGCTAGCAGCAAGCCAGTAACCACCAAAGAGAGGGGAATCCAACATGCCCTCTTGATGGATTGATGTTGTCCACTGCATTGGTTTCAGCCTCTCTACGTCCACTGCTTGCTTCTGGCTCTATTGTGGTAGCTGCTTCGTCTCCTTCCCTTTTTATCTCTTTCTCTAAATCTTTTGCCACATCCATCTGCTTGCTGTCTGATTCCTTGTCCCACCCGGGCTCCCACCTACCTACCCTCCCCAACCACACATCACACATACACTATGTATGTTACTGCCATTGGTAAGTAAAGCGAGTGAGGAGCAGTGGAGGTGGAGGCGAGGTGCGCATATATAGCAATTTGCTACTTAATTTAGCTAGCAACAATACACTACAATGGCCCTGATGAAACCGTGGTGTGCTGTTGCCGCATCGTCGCTCCTCGCCACCATTCACCTACTCGTGGCGGCTCCCGCTGCACTAACCTAGATGTCCCAAATGCCGCCGGCGCCGGGATCATCTAGCGACCTGTGCCCCGATGTTCTTATTCACCTACAAAGAATCATTTGGAAGTCCGCTTCTATCAAGCTACGGATCCAGGATTCAATCTCAACTACTGCTGGTTATTGCAACTTATACATTGTAGGTGAGACAACTTATACTTGGGGGCTAATTATTGCAATGAACCTAATTAATGATAGAAGCTGTTGCACAAACTAGGGGGCAAATTCTTTTGTGGCAACTTATGTGTGCAATGACTACCCTTTTACGACAACTTATATATTGTGGGTGAGGCATCTTATACTTGGAGGCTAATTATTGCAATGAACCTAAACATAGAAGCTGTTGACAAACTAGGGGACAAATTCTTTTATGGCAGCTTATGTATGCAATGACTACCTTTTTGTGACAACTTATACATTGTAGGTGAGACAACTTATACTGGGGGCTAATTATTGCAATGTGTGCAATGACTACCCTTTTGCGACAACTTATACATTGTAGGTGAGGCAACTTATACTTGGGGGCTAATTATTGCAATGAACCTAAACATCAAAGCTATTGCACAAACTAGGGGGTAAATTCTTTTGTGGCAACTTATGTGTGCAATGACTACCATTTTGCGACAACATATATATTGTAGGTGAGACAACTTATACTTGGGGGCTAATTATTGCAATGAACCTAAACATAGAAGCTGTTGCACAAACTAGAGGGCAAATTCTTTTGTGGCAACTTATGTGTGCAACGACTACATTTTGCGACAACTTATACATTGTAGGTGAGACAACTTATACTTGGGGGCTAATTATTGCAATGAACCTTAACAAGAATTTGCCCCCTGGTTTGTGCAACAGCTTCTATGTTTAGGTTCGTTGCAATAATTAGCCCCCAAGTTGTCAACTATAATATTACATGGTAGTAACTCCTATGTAACAACTTGAGTATCTTTTTGTAGTAGCAACTTTAGTTTTACATGGTAGTGACTTGTTTTTATTTTTTGCCTCAAGCTTGTGCATACCATGTAAAAACTTTAGTATGTTTTTGAGTAGCAAATTTAGTATTATATGGTAGCAACTTCTTCATAAATCTCCTAGCATATTTTTAAACATAAATTGCTATTCAAATAAAATTATTGGGGTCTACTTTTGTTCGCCTCGTCACGTAGAACACACCGGTGTATACGGAATCGAAAAAGGATACATCACTCAAAAATTATAGCCGTCAAAGAAAAATGTTGTGCTTTTTTTTGTTTTAGCTGACGTCACACAACATTAGATGGTGACAGCAAGCTGGCTGCAAACGGATTCATACTTTGCACTTTGGTCTGCCTAAGACGGGATTGGTCGGGTCACCAGGCTGAGGAGTGGAGTCGCGCGGAGGGTGGTCGTGCTCTCTACTCCTATAGGCTGCTGAGCTCAGGGAGCAAAGCAAAGGAAAGGCAGTAGCTAGCAGCTAGCAGCAACCACCAAAGAGAGGGGAATCCAACATCCCTCTTGATGGATTGATGTTCTCCACTGCATTGGTTTAAGCCTCTCTACGTCCACTGCTTGCTTCTTGCTCTATTGTGGTAGCTGCTTCGTCTCCTTCCGTTTTTATCTCTTTCTCTGAATCTTTTGCCACATCCATCTGCTTGCTGTCTGATTCCTTGTCCCTCCCGGGCTCCCACCTACCTACCCTCCCCAACCACACACCACACATACACTGTGTATGTTACTGCCAGTGGAGGTGGAGGTGACGTGCGTATATATAGCAATTAGCTACTTAATTTAGGAGCTAGCAACAATACAATACAATGGCCTTGATGAAACAAGTGGTGTGCTGTTGCCGCGTCGCCGCTCCTCTTCACCTTTCTCCTACTCCGCTGCACTGGCCTAGATGTCCCAAATGCCGCTGGCGCTGGGATCATCTAGCGACCTGTGCCCCGATGTTCTTATTCACCCTACCAAGAATCATTTGGAAGTCCGCTTCTATCAAGCTACGGATCCAGGATTCAATCTCAACTACTGCTGGTGGTGCATGGATGCATAGAAATATTAAGAATACTGAACCTAAACGCAATCTGGATATGTAAAATAAATGAAGTCTACTAGCTTATACCTGTGAATTCAAAATGAAGATGCCAGTTTCTTTAAATCACTGAAAATATTGGGGTAAACAACACAATATTACTAACATCTAAGACGCAATATATATGTTCTTCCATTACATCCTAGTCAAACAGAAGTGTAAACTCATTACTAAATAATGCAGTCATATGTTATCCAGGATACTCACCGAAAGTTTATTAGTACCCAAACAAGAACAGCTCAGGAAACTGAATCGATTGTCTATTGGATTTTATAAACAGACAATAGAATTCACTGAAAGTTCTTCTTGTGTCATAAACCCAACTTAACAACATACAGCACCAATGGGGCAGGAAGGAGCAAGGAGCAGTGATAGGGGTTGGATTGTTCTCACGTCGGTCGTCGATGAATACGAACTGCAGCCGACGCTGGGACGGATGGAGGAAGAAGGATCTGCTACTGAGCTGGACGGACACTGAAGGAACCGAGGATGTCAGCTGGGGAGCCCCAAACACGTCAGGGCGGATGCAGAAGGAGGGACGCGCGTTAGGGGCGCTCGCGGGCTCGCGGCTGGAGGGAGAGCAGCCGTCGTGATCGGCGTTGGGGTGGGGGACGACCGCCAGACCGCCACAACCGCTGTTGGGGTCGGAGCCCAACCACGTCGGGGCAGACGCACAACAAAGCGGCGATCTGGACGAGCGGCGGAATCCGAGAACTTCCTCCGTCGTCGCCCGCTGCAACTTCGTCCACCACCGGTCGCCGGCTGCGCTTCCGCCAGCAACGCCGGATTCGTTTGCCCGTATGCGCGGTCAGAACGAAAGGGGAAAGAAGCAGCATTGGGAGCTCGGGGTGTTGGCCGCAACGTTGGATTTTTTTTGAGCAAAAGAGCCGCAACGTTGGATGAGGGGAGGGGGCATGTCTACTGGGCCGGCCCGTCGTGGCCTGGTGTCGCGCAGTGGAGTCGGAGCGCGACCAGTCGCTTCTTAGACTTTGCGATTTATGTTCTTGTATGAACAACTTGGACGCCATAGGCAACGATTCGTACATACCATACATATGGGCCACCAGCCCACCGCTAGGCCACAACCGCTCCGGCCTCAGGGTATGCGAGTTTCGCCAAACGATTTAACTGGCTTCGAGACCCACCGGTGTGGAGGCCTAGTATAATGTTTGTAATTACCCAAAACCTAGGAAACTTTTGGTTTGGTAGGGAGAATCGTCTACTGGATTCATCTACTTTAAAAGTTTGGGCGCTATACGCACCTACTATAGAGCGCCGCCGCTCGATCTACCTATTCTATGACATCGTCATCAATCGCCGCCTTCTTGGTAAGGGCGACGGCAGCCTATTACATGTCGTCCTCCACTGCTGCCACGCCCAGCGGCAGCACGTCCATGGTCTCTGCAGAGACAGCGTCAGGGAGGCACGCGTGTTCAAGATCCAAGGGTACTCACGATACAAGGCCACCGCCGGCATTTGGCACGGCCGTGACGTCGGGCACGTTCAGCGTCGGAGGCCACAGCTGGCGCATCCAATACTTCCCGTGCGGCTACACGGGGAAGGAAAACGCCGGTTGGTTATGCTTCGGTCTGCACCTTGTGGTTCTACCAGAACCAGCGGCCGCAGCAGACGGCGGCATCGTCAAGGCAACTTTCTCGTTGAGCCTACTCGACAAGGACGGGGCGCCACTGCCGTCGCCGTACAGACGACGTGTGTCATCCCTACTGGACTTCTCAAGCACACACAATGAATGGCAGTTCAAGCAATTCATCAGAAGCAAGGACCTCGATTCACTCTGTCTCAAAGCAGATTGCTTCCGCATCAGGTGCGACGTCACCGTCGTCCTAGAGACACGCGACAAGTCGTCCGTGCTGGCCAGCGGGGTCGGAGGGGATGTGACGTTTGAGGTCGGTAAGGAGACATTCGTCGCCCACAAGAACGTGCTTGCGGCGCGGTCGCCGGTGTTCATGGCGGAGTTATTCCGCAGCATGATGGAGGAGAAAGCTGCCGCCGCCCGTGTGCGGATCCTTAGGATCCATGCGAGGGCGTTCAAGGCCATGCTGCACTTTATCTACACCGATTTATTGCCTGAGATAGATGAAGATGACAAGATACCTATGGTTCAGCATCTCCTCGTGGCTGCAGATAGATATGATATCCAGAGAATGAAACTGATCGGTGAGAACAAGTTGTGCATCTCTGTTAACGCAAGCGTAGCGGTGACTACACTTGTGTTAGCTGTTGCCGTCGCCTCAAGGAGGCGTGCATTAATTTGCTGAAGGTCCATGGTAATTTCAAGGCGCTGGGGTATGATGACTACAGTTATCTGAAGCGATGGTGCCCTTCTCTTCTTGACGAGTTGCTTGCTGAGCATGGCCTGTGATCTATGTTATGTGTAAGGGGAAAAAATTAAGAACCTGTCCTTATTTCTGTTGGATCCCTATTTCTATCTACAATCTATTTTTATTGTTCTACTCAAGATGATTGTCATGATTCAGTTATAAAGCTAATTAAACATCACTATAATGGAAAAGGTAATCACTGCCGGACTATCATTGTCGTTTTCTTTGGAACTGGCGGTGACATAGTATATCACTGCCGGTTCGTGTCTTCAACCGGTACTGATAGCACTAGTAGAGAACAGACCTTTGATCCAAGGGCCAAACCAGGCTCTAGTCCCGGGAAATATTGCGCCCGGGACTAGAGAGACCTTTAGTCCCGGTTGGTGGCTCCAACCGGGACTAAAGGTCCCTGCCCAACGTCTCCTGCGCCAGGCCGTTGTGGCAGAGGACCTTTAGTCCTGGTTGGAGCCACCAACCGGGACTAAAGGTCGACCTTTACTCCCGGTTGGTGGCTCCAACCGGGAGTAAAGCTCTTGTCCCGGCTAGTGGCGTGACCCGGAACTGGAAAGTGACCTTTAGTCCCAGTTGGATCCACCAACCGGGACTAAAGGTCCCCCCTATAAATCCTGCTGGCCGTCTTGTTCCTCCCCGAGCCCGCCTGAGAGCTTCAGTTCAAATTTAAGCAGTGTTCTTGCTCTTTCTCCATCCATTCTTCGATTCCTCCGTCGATTTCTTCGATTCCTCGGTCGATTCTTCGGCTCTAAAGGTTACCAACTTCATACTCTCATGTTTCACCGTTGTCTTATCCCATTTTGTTCACTATATATATATGGTTCTTTATTGTGGTTTTTTTTCATTTGTAAGCAATTTGAGCTCAAAATCACTTCAAGCTTGCATATTTACATGAAGGAAGGTTAAAGTAGCTAGTTGAACTTGCGGACCATGTTCATCTCGGCGAGCATGTTTTCTGCCGAGCGGTAATGGACGTCAAGGAGGAGCTTTGATTCTACGAGGGAGAGCGGCAACGGTCGTGGAAGACCGTGTTCCCTTTCTCATAGAATCGGAGCTCTTCCGTGGCCAAGTACGGTGCCGTCCGGTGGAGAAATGCTCGCCGAGATGATCACGTAAGCATGGTCAACTAGTACGGATGGTTATTTATTCACACGTCCCGATATCCCTGTCAATCACCGTACCCAAACGTAGTATATATATAAATATAAACGATAATCGATTGTTATGTGTGTACACTCCCATTCTACTGTTAATTTGTGGAAATATCATGTGAATTACTTACCTGCCGCAGTAAAAGACGAGAACACAATGACCATTAAAAATATCATTGTTTAGAGATATAGATAATTTTATAGTTTCTTAATTTTATTTGTTTATAAAATGAGAAATTTATAGTGTATTAAAAAATGAGTATAGAGAGTAGATGGCAACTGCTTTCGGGTCCTCGGGCTCTCATTGGTTTGCAAAGCGACTTAGGCCGGGCCTCCCTCTCGTTCCATGCGGCAAGTGTCGTGATGAGACAAAGATTGTGATGGAGTACCGAGTGAAGAAGGAGGGTCCCAACAAGACTCGTATCTTCTACAAGTGTCCGGATCGCCATGTGAGTTATTTTATCATATTTAATGATTATGATTAGTTTATACCTATTTTTATGATGGTTGTGATTAAAGTTCTAATTTTTTGTTTTAATTTCAGTGGGATGGCAGTGGACGATGTTCAGGCTTCTACTGGGAGGAAGAGTATGTTGAACTCGTGCAAAAATATCTTGCACAACAGGCAGATACGGCGGCTAATGAGGCAGTGATCCAGCCGAAGAAGCTCAAAGATGTTGCACAATCGGGGGATCTGTCTGTTTTAGTTAAGATTGGTCGCGAAATCCTTGTGCTCCTAAAAATTATTTTAGCTTTAGTTATTTTAGTGGTAGTTAGGATGTCTACATTGTAGCGATGCTTTCATAAATTTGTACCTTTTGTGGTGGCACGCATGTTGTATAAATAATTAATTATGATCTAGGTTTTAATATGATATTTATGTCATGTAATGCAGATGAGCCAGCATTGGATGTACAATGCTGATCGCCGCTCCCAAGAGTTCATTGACGGCGTGCATTCTTTGTTACGTGCGGCCGAGGCAAACAAACGCGACGGTTTCATGTGCTGCCCATGTGCCATATGTAAGAATACGGTGGAATATCCTTGCTCAAGGACTCTTCATTCACACTTGTTCAAGTCGGGTTTCATGCCAAACTATATTTGTTGGACGAAGCACGGAGAAACCGGCGTTGTAATGAAAGAAGGTGAAGAAGAACAATGGGACGACAATGATATTATTCCCGATGGTGCGTGCTTCAATGATACTGCAATGGGAGAAGCTGAAGAAGAGGTAGCCACAGAAGATGAGCCTACTGATGATCTTTGTCAGGTCATTCGTGACGCACAAAGAAAATGTGAAAGTGAAAAGGAGAAGATCAAGTTCGAGCAGATGCTAGAAGATCACAAGAAATTGTTGTACCCAACTTGTGATGCAGGGCAGAAAAAGTTGGGAACCACACTAGAATTGCTTCTATGGAAGGCAAAGAATGGTGTATCTGACAAGGGATTTGGAGAGTTACTAAAAATCCAAAAGAAGATGCTTCCCAAGGACAATGAATTGCCTGCCACTACCTACAAAGCAAAACAAGTTGTCTGTCCTATGGGGCTAGAAATCGAGAAGATACATGCATGTCCTAATGACTGCATCCTCTACCGTGGCAAAGAGTACGAGAAATTGGATGCATGCCCGGTATGCCATGCATCGCGGTATAAGATCAGGCGAGATGACCCTGGTGATGTTGAGGGTGAACGTCCGTGGAAGAAAATCCCTGCCAAGGTTATGTGGTATGCTCCTATAATACCACGCTTGAAACGTCTGTTCAGAAACAAAGAACATGCAAAATTGTTGCGATGGCACAAAGAAGGCCGTAAGGTAGACAATATGTTGAGACACCCTGCTGTCCCAGTGGAGAGCAATCGGCAGAGAATTCCCGGAGTTTGCAAATGATGCAAGAAACTTAAGGTTTGCTTTAAGTACAGATGGTATCAATCCTTTTGGAGAGCAGAACAGCAGTCATAGCACTTGGCCTGTTACTCTAAGTATCTACAACCTTCCTACTTGGTTATGCATGAAGTAGAAGTTCATTATGATGCCTGTGCTCATCCAAGGCCCGAAGCAACCGGGCAATAACATCGATGTGTACCTGAGACCACTTATTGACGAACTTCTCATTTTGTGGAATAAAGAAGGTGTACGTGTGTGGGATGAGTACAAACAGGAACACTTTGATCTACGAGCATTGTTGTTCATAACAATCAATGATTGGCCTGCTCTAAGTAATCTTTCAGGACAATCAAACAAGGGATATAATGCATGCACACACTGCTTCGGTGATATTAGAGGTGTATTCTTGAAAAAATGTCGAAAGGTCTTGTACCTTGGCCATCGTCGATTTCTTCCTGCAAATCACCTCGTAAAAAAGAAAGGCAAGCATTTTAAAGGGAAGGCAGACCACCTGACCAAGCCTCGTAACCAAACTGGTGAGGATGTACTCGATATGGTCAATGATGTGAAAGTCGTCTTTGGAAAAGGACATGGAAGCCAACCTGTTCCAAACGACGCTAACGGTCACGCACCCATGTGGAAGAAGAAGTCCATATTTTGGGACCTACCCTATTGGCAAGTCCTAGAGGTCCGCAGCTCGATCGACATGATGCACCTGACGAAGAATCTTTGTGTGAACCTGCTAGGCTTCATGGGTGTGTATGGAAAGCCTAAGGACACATTTGAAGCACGACAGGACCTGCGTTGTTTGAGAGAAAGAGACAACCTGCATCCAGAGAAGACAGATGATGGATGCCATTACTTACGTCCTGCCAGCTGCACTCTAAGCAAAGAAGAGAAGGAAATCATGTTTGAATGCTTAAACAACATCAAGGTACCATCTGGATTCTCCTCGAATATAAAGGGCATTATAAATGTGCCAGAGAAGAAATTCTGTAACTTAAAGTCCCATGACTGTCACGTTCTCATGACGTAATTACTTCCAGTTGCATTAAGAGGAATTCTACCTCCAAATGTACGTCTAGCCACCGTGAAGCTATGTGCATTCCTCAATGCAATTTCTCAGAAGGCAATTGATCCAACTGATCTAGCTAAACTACATAATGATGTGGTTCAATGTCTCGTCAGCTTTGAGTTGGTGTTCCCTCCTTCCTTCTTTGATATCATGACACACCTCTTAGTTCACCTAGTCAAGGAGATTTTCATTCTCGGTCCTGTGTTCCTACACAACATGTTCCCCTTAGAGAGATTCATGGGAGTCCTGAAGAAATATGTTCACAACCGTGCTCGCCCAAAAGGAAGCATCGCCAAGGGCTATGGAACATAAGAGGTCATTGAGTTCTGTGTTGACTTTATTCCTGACCTTGACTCGATTGGTGTTCCTGAATCGAGACATGAGGGGAGACTAAGCAGAAAGGGGACACTATGGAGGAAAACATATATTGGTACGAAGGATGATTCACTACACCATGACACACATTTGCCTACAGTTATCTGTTGGCAAAAGATTGGTTTCACCTACACACTATGTGTCGGTAATTGTATAACCCTTTTAAAGTCACGTAATATGTCGGCAATGATGGCGTATGACTACAAATTAACTGTCGGCGTTTCTCTTGGGACAATCAAACTGTCGGCAAATGTTTTTCGACGAACTCCTCTTTGGTAGATCCGTATATTGATACACACAAGGATCTCTTACGATCCGAGTTTCCAGGGAAGACTGAAGCTTGAATTACGTGTAAGCACATGGAAACTTTCGGCGGTTGGTTGCGAAAAAAATGTCAAGGTGATGAGAGCATCCATGAGCAACTGTATTTATTGGCTAT